GTAAGTAAATTATCTTCAAATAGTGTGTGGCATAAAATTTTATATTAGGGCGGCTTTCTCTCGTACCCGAAGAGAAACAATGCTGACAATAGCATCTACAACACAACTCCCAGAGTAACTCCCAGAGGTGAGGTATGTTACAATTAATATCATCTGATTACACAAAAGAATGTACTAGCTATTGAATAAAAGAGGTACTTTCACCGTATAACTTTTTCAATCACTTTTAAAAACCTCTGCCCGCGAAAGTTTTTCCATAAGAGCGTATACTAATTATTGAAAAATTAGGACGGAAAGGATCCATTTTTTTCTTATAATCGTGAAGAACAGAGATATTTCTTTCATTTAAAGTATATTTTGGGGGTACTTCACCGTGGTCGATCTAACAAATGTACTACCTTAAAATATACTATCTTTCGGTCCTTCCAAGAACCAATCGTTTTCATTGAATCAGTGGCAAATATCAACTAGGAAAGAGGCTAACCTCACTAACAATTTACTAAATAGTGTACCTAAATCATGAAGCAGCTGTAGTATCGCCAAGTGGCCCGTTAGCTCAGTTGGTTAGAGAATCGTGCTAATAACGCGAAGGTCGTGGGTTCGATCTCCCCACGGGCCAAATTTTAAAAGTCTCAATTATGAGATCTACTTTAAATATTTGCCGTAACGCGCAATAGTAAGAGAGAATAAATACTTCATGTAAATAAATACTTCAAATAAATACTTGTCATTATATTTGCGCTGGAAGGCAGTGCTCTCAATTCCGTCTCCTGACGGTCGCCTTTGCGGTGCGCGTGGTCCACCACGCTGTGACGTCATTTGAAGTCTCGCAGGCTCCCACTCTCGCTTTCTCCAGGCGCTCCACTTTTACGGCCGAACCACTTTTGTGACCGCTGATGTGAATTAATGAATGTATGCTTTTGATTAGCGCTTAATAATTTAAGGAGCTCTGGACAGCAGTAAATGACTTTTATGAAGTAGAATTTACATTGCAATTATCCTTTGCAGTGTTAATAGTATGTGTGTTGCCACTATTATCTTCGAAAATCTTAGCATGTAGTTTCCGTGGTGTAGCGGTTATCACGTCCGCCTAACACGCGGAAGGTCCCCGGTTCGATCCCGGGCGGAAACATAATTTTTTTAAAGTATGTTTATTGCGACTTCGTAGTTGATCTATTTGCCTGAAATGTATTAGGAAAAGTCAGCTCCCTATCACTAACACTGTAAAATAATTAAATGAATTAAAGTAAGTGACGTATTTGATTGTGTTCATTTTATTTGTAAGTATACATGAAATGAGCATTACATTATTTTAAATAATATCCGTGTCCTCATTGCTTCAACATTATTCCACTCCCCTTGTGGCTCAGGGCATCAATCGATGTCGCTACAGTGCCTCTGACCGGGAGGTCCTCGGGTTCGAGTAAGGACGGTGGCAGGATTTCGACACTAGGCTACATAAATAGACCGAGTTAAGCCACAGTTGGGAGAAGAATTCTAACGGCGCGGTGGGCTGATCTGATCGCTTTCCGTGGTCTCTCCGATCAACACCCCACGGATGCCGGAGCAGTAACCTTGCAAACGGGCCACGGACCGCACGCCATATTTCTTTCTTTCTTGTTCTATATTCCGTTTCTTGTACACACTTCCAATTAATTACATGCTCTACCCTACAACATACGTCGGGAGTTTATAGTTTGTACCGGATTAGGAAGTACCTGGTTGGGGAAAACCCGCTAACCGACAGTAGGTTTTCGCCATCCAGCGAAGGAAATTCACCGCCACCGAGGAAAAACATGTACTACATTTACGGAACTAATGACCTTAGCCGTTTTCGCGACCCGATAATCTAACAATCAATCGTTAAATCAACAATAAAAAGCTTACACTTTACGAGGATGGTGTTAAAAACAAGCATTTTATTTGTAAACCTTTGTAAGTAACAATGATTCCTTTTGAACTAAATTACGCTCGCAGAGGTATACCCAATAGTATCACTAACGAGCCATCTCCTATTCGGTAAGCTAGAGAGGGTTGTCAGATTAATCACGTCAAGTGATATCTAGGTTTGCCTTATTACAGCAGACTTCATTAGGCCTGCTAATTAGATGGTATCGCTATTCTACCTTCGCCTGAAGCTGAACGCCAGTTCTCCAAATTGCGAAACGATGATCGGATCTCCCTAATCAATAATACGTGAATCCAATTTGCTGTGGTTCTCCTCTTTCAGCACCTACGAGTATTATTTTCTCATCAAGTCTTTATCAGTGATAATTAGAATTCTATCGTAATGAAGTAAGACACACTTCCTCGTTTCTGTCTACACTTTAATTTTATCACCACGATAATAAGATACAATAGTTACAGGGATAGATTCAGAATTCGAGAATAAGTATTCTGTATTTCAATTTGTCCTTTTCCTTCTATTGCTTCTATAATCACATTTCTTTACCTGTTTTTGTTGTACGTTGCACTTTGATAATAATCTTAACTAGTAGATCAGTTTTGAATATAATTCATCTGAATTGTAAAAGCTTATTTAGCTTTTGCTTCTAAACGTAAGATAACGATATCATACACAATGTTCGGTTAGTTAACATTTACAAATCTCGCAAAAACTAACATTTTATGCAAGTTTTATTTTTATGAATTAAAATATATAATATAAACGTATAAGTATTGTGATTATAAAAAAATATTCAGCATGAAGTTCCCTGCACCGCTTTGTATCTTTTGTTCTTTATTAGTTTATAACTATTCTATTAAAAAATGCATTGTAATTTAGTAACAACTTTCTCTCGGTGTAAAGATTTACCAAAAAATAAAATTAACCGTGACTCGTCAAATCGATGAAAAAAACTTGTAACTTTATGTTAAAGAGAGCAATTTAAATAATGACGTAATAGTTCGTAAATAGGTCATCATTAAATTAAATATGAGGATTTCACTTTTCTCTTATAGAACAAAGTGATTTGAAACCCTTAAAATTAGATATTATGCAAAATAAATAACTGAAGTTTTATTTTTGTTCCGCAATACATTTTTAATCCCTATTTAGTACAATATTTTATATTTAAAGATAACAGAGTAATTTCTAACATTCTTCATTTGTTCAAGATACAATACAACTTTTTTCATTTTTAATACTTGTTTTCCCTACAAATTGTGTATAAAAATATAATGCAATTATAATCTTGGAAGACCTTGAAACACATTGAATACCATAGGTACTGATTAAGGCGAAACGAAGGTGCACAGGTACAGATTATAGTAGTTGGTTCTAGGAAGAGAAAACGAAATTATTAAGCGACTCCGGTCACTCATTTCAACTAAGAAAATTAAGTGTCGCTTGCTTCTGCCAGTTTCAAGTAAACCATTCTGAAGAATTAATAAATTGTTATTCAAATGAAGTCTACCCTCCGTGTATGTGATGGAGAATAATATTACTTTCCCGTATACATCCGTATATGGAATGTAATAGTATATGGAATGTTATGTAATGCTGCGGAAATACTATTTTTAAATTTCAATGGAAATACACGTTTTGGCGACCACTAATACCGAAAAAGAGTGTTTTTTTTCTTTTTTCTCCAAAACGTCCACCCGCCTGTCTGTCTGGTGTACGTGAAGCGCCTAAACCATGCGTAGGTTTATTTCCAAATTGAAGAAATCTCTGCCCATTTGACCTGACTCAAAGAACTGAGATTTTGAAAATCATTGATTAGTTTTTGGGAGTACTTTACATGAAGCCCCTGGCAAATTTTCAAAATTTGCTCAAAAATAGCTCCAAGTTTTTTCTTTAAATTTCTTCTAAAAATATAGTGAAATACACTTATAAAGGTTGCATAGGACCGATTTTCACGGTTAACTACGATTTTTAGAAAATTTCAAGAGTTTCTTTTTTTGGGGGTATTCATACAACTTCAAAATTGAAGATAGAGATGTTTTCCTTTCAATGAAATTTGTTGTCCACAATTTGTTCTTTGAGTAGGGTTTTTAAATTTTAGTAGTTAACGCACAATTTTTCGTGCAATTTGTGCAATTTTAAAAAGTTACAAAAAACAAGATTTTCTCAAAACGGCTCTTAATTTTTTCTTCAAACTTTTTGAAAGGATACTGCTAATTGCGCTCTTTAATATGACGTAAAGTTCATTTCAGATTAATGTGTGTTTTTTCCAAAATTGCACAACTGTACTTTTTTTAAATCTCTCACGCCGTTAATATGCACATTTCCAGCATTTTTATTTTTATAACACTATAGTATTTGTGAGTTACAGTGTTTCAAATGACTTCAAATGAAGTTTTTCGTAATCTCAAACATTTTCTGTGAAAAGAGCTTCAAATTTCGATTTTACTTCACCGCACCATTTTCTTAATAACGGCTCGACATTTTTCAAAGAAAATTGCCACTTAGTGCGAGGTTTTACTGTATTTAATATTCATAAAATAATATTTCCTTTCTACTATTGGGACCCCGAAAACATAAGACATTTTTTAATGTACTTTGTTGGCGATAGGAGGCACATAGCAAGAGTATGTGGAAAGTTCGAATAGCTAGCCGAGACCAAAGGAAATAGAAAACTAATATGGGAAAGTCTGAGCCATTCTGTAGCTCCACTATATTTTTAATGAATAACAGCATTTAAATAAATGAGTTATTTATGAATGTGTATGGATTTATGAATGGACAATGAATTTATTAAGATTTCATTTTTCATAGAAAATTCCGCCAGACACTGAGTATACGAACTGAGTATGCAGTTGAATAATAAATCTCCACGATCATACAGAAAACTGAAAAACCTGTTTGGGCGATTTTTCACCAACTGCATGTATGTAGCGTAAATGAATTTGTTCGCTGCAATTTTTTTCTGCAATTGGTTCTATTCATTGAGTATTATTCTTAATAAATTCAAGTTTCCGTTGTTTTTAGTTCGCCAGAACCGGCAAATTCCAAGGCGCCGTTGTCTAGTCGGGCGGTGGTGCGCGTGTGGTTACAGGGCCCGCTGGCGAACAGCACGGTGCCGCGCCAGGACTTCCGCTCGCACAACTTCTGCATCTCCCCGCTGGAGCTGAACGGGCAGCCCATGAGCGCGCTCGACCTGGACGCCATCGGCCGCTGCCAGGAGAAGGTGACGCGCGGCAACCTGGAGGCGGCGGAGCGGCCGGCCAACGCCGCACACGGCCCCGCGGTGCGTGCCACGCCCCGCCTCCGCGCCACCCACGCCTCCGCTCCGACACCTCCACACACAATCACCACCACCACCACCACCACTCCAACACCAATAACAATACAACTTCAACACCTACACAACCTTCGAAATGTTTGCCACGCCCCGCCTCCTCACCACCCACACCTCCGCTCCAACACTTCCAGTACACCATTACCATCACCAACAGCAATACTAATACCACCACATCACCAACAATAAAACTCCATCTATTCAACACCCGCACAACCTCCGCGGAGCCACGCGCCACCACTACGCCACCCACCATACATCACCAACACCTCCGCTCCAACTTTCTCTTAAAACTAGCTCCCCTACATCACCACTGACAAACATCTGCACCGGCACGTCAGCACCATCAACACATTATCCCCACGCCAGCAAAAATTTCAGTACCACCTCCTCACCAACAACAATATCAAAACACCACCACATCCAAGCCACCAACATATTATCACTACCACCGAACAACAACAATATCCCCACACCAACACCACTACGCCAACTTCGGCATCGGTACATCAGCGCCACCACTTCATGACCAGTTACCCATAATCACTGTCACATCATGTCATCATCACCACGCCAACAACCATTCTCTCCACAACCACCACCACTGCACCAATACCACGGGACGATCATTACCAATACCACAGCCTCATACCAGCACCACTGCATCAATAACCAACATTAATATTACCTCATCAATCCCAATACCACCTCAGCAACACCAGCATTTCCGGCACATCGGCACCTACACCAACACTATCATATCACCTCACCAACGCCACGAACACAACACAAATCGCACCAACCCCACCTCACTCCACCTCACCAAGTGTCACATCAAAACCATTATCTTGTCAACACCCCGTCAGATTAAAGCATGGTCACAACAACTCAATCAACACATCAACACCCTCATCACATCAACATTTCCAAATCAACACCATTGCATCAATACCGCCTCTCTTATTCCGCCTGCACACGCCGTAAAGAAACAAACCCTACGACACCACAATTGATTTCAGAATAAGGGGATCTTCAGCACCACACCCACACTAACCCCGCCACCGCGGCAACATATCACGCTCGCATTCAACCGACTACCGACATAACATTACTCAAGTGATACACCACTACACTCCTCACTACCATCACTCCAACCATCTAAATTCATATTATAAAACCACCTCCTTCTCAAATGCCATTCTATACACACCTGACCCTCCTTTACTTCCATCTCAGTTCTTTCAAGACCATCATACCCTAGCGCCATCACAATATCATTATGCAACCATCTTTTAATCACCGCTATTTTATCACCATTGTTACCGCTACCATCGAGTCAACATCGTATCCACTGTTGCAACCCTACCAATTCTATTATGTATATTACTCAACATGAATACTTAAATTGAAAAAAATAACACTAACACGTGTAGTGAAAAACGTTTTTCGTACAAATGGCTATTTCAGACAAACACGTTTTTAGAAAATTCTTAACTAAGATGTCCTCTGCAGTTAACACGAAATTCCGGTTTCGGTTACGAAACGTCTCAAATCTTCGGATACTGTCGACAAAGCTCCACGTGACTCCACGAGTGTAATTAGGAAAGAGGTAAACTAGTGATTAAGACAGATGATAATGACCTACGATTTATTTCCAGGTTAGCTTATTGTGTATATTTACATTTCACATTCCATGAAGGCCATTGTATCTCAAATAAGGAAGTTTGATATTCATAATGGAATTTGAAAATAAATTTAAAATCCAAATATTTTCTAGTAATTCTCACAATTTACTTACTATATAATTGAAAAATTCATTTTATTTTACGTGCATATTTTGAATTTTATCTGATAATCAATGTGTTATGCAACACGAGTAAGACATTTTAATGACCTTAATGCAATGATAGCTAAAAGAACATTAATTTAATAATAAAGATAAAGGTGCTTTTAAAGACCTCACACTCAATAACACACTCAAAAATTCATTTGCTCCGTGTTTGCCCATATTTGAAACATATGGACATTGCATTGCCCAAAAACGGCCGTGAGGAACATCTCAATTTACTGAGTGCTGCTAAAACAAATATGTACTTCCAACAGCCGGCGTTTTTCGTGCAAACCCCACTACCTTAATTGGAGTTTTAATGGCAACGTACATGCCTTGCCCGCATTACAAATGTTTCACTCTAAGTGAATCGTTTAATTTGAAATTACGACCTCGCCAATCTTTGCGAAATTTAGTTAGGTTATTTAGTTTTTCTCAGTCAAAAAAACAGTAAAAACTGTATGTGACGTAAGGGGGAAAAGATAATCTTCGCACATTTTCTTGAGTTCTAGAATCCCTTCCCGTCATTTTAAATATAAATACTTGAAAGATGAGTAAAAGTTTAACATAAATAAATAAAAATAAATTTTAAAAATCGCAAGATTAGCAATAATTGGTGAATAGTCATTTTCATTTCTGAGTTATAGAAAAAGTATTTGCATCGGTATACGAACTGCAAGTATGACTTTTCTGCATTACTAACAAAACTCGCCCTTACCTCTACTCTTACTGTTTCAAGCAAAAGGAGAGTTCAACAAAATGTGCGCCTAGTGAAGTTACATTTACGTCCAGCAGCAAAACAAGAGGCCATCTCAGCATTTGCTCAGTGGATCAGGGAAACTGGAGAGAAACATGATCGAAATTATTTAAATTAGCCTGTTCTATTAGCTTCCATGCAAATCAAAGTGCTACGTATCCAGTATTCATTGATATAACCTAAGCGTGGTACTCTGTTTACTTGAAAAGTGACACTTCTCTGGAGATGTAATATTTTTCAATAACATGAGCCCGCCCTGGGAAACGAGTGAAGTGGCTTTTTCAAAACCGATTCTGGTATTGTAATCACAGTAATTCTAGTCCATTTTATCTTTCAGCTTATTATTTTAGTATATTGTGTCCATCGCTTTTTCCTCATAAAGCGATTAGTATTTCTAAATAATTCATACATAGAATATCTTATCACTGCCAAAGAGATATCAGTCTTAAAATATCTACAGTAATGGATTTCCATGAAATTATATAGCTGCAAAATTGATTCCATTCTTAGATCATACTATTTTTAGGTTTATATTTTTATGCTTTGTGACTTATCAATAATATCGATTCATTCTGTTTATGTAATCCTCTAAAAAATTGCAGGTCAGTTCACTTAGATCTTGTGAGTTTGAAGAAATGTCCAAAGACCATTTACTACAGTTATGTCAAGGTCAGTGCCACCGACGGCCGTTCGTGGCACGGATAGCACGACAAATTCACCATTCTAGGTAGATGATCACCTCGCCACAAGAGAGCAGTAGGTCGTCAAAGTTGCCCTGATCGCCTTTACGTTTTATTCGCGAAATACGATTAGGCAGGATTAAAAAAATTCAGAACGTGTGATTTTTTTTTTACTCATTCTTTTTCTACAGGAAGCGGTTCCACGAAGTTAGAAAACGTCGTGGTTACTATAAATAATTTCCTTTCCCTACACTAGATGCACTGAGAAGCTCGTGGCATGCCACAGTGGCACAAATCGTGCCACCAGTAGACCTTGATTTACTACATTACAGATTTACTACATTATTGACCACAAACGCATCATTCCGCCTATAAAGCTAACATGGCTGCCGCGATTCCGTGGTTCCAGGCGTCTCCGTCGCTGGCGCTGCTGCTGCTGTCGCTAGCAGCGCTCCTGGCGGCAGGCGGGCGCCCCAGGTGAGGCACGGAACGCCGTTCCTTTCTGCTGAGCCGGGCAGTCGCCGAGACCGCAGCCGCAGACACTGCCGCCTTCGCACCCGCCGTCGCCCGCGCCCTCGCCAGCCCCGCGCCGCCCCTGCGGGCGACCACCGCCCACGCCCATCGCCCCCGCGCCGTTCGCGTCACGTGTGGTGCGGCGCCCGCGAGCGAGGCGAACGACTGACTCATGCCTTTCAAGCAACAGGGTGCCCGTGACTCTCGATCTTTGTTAAAGTATGTGTAAAGAAACTTTTATTGCATAATCTGTATAAAAAAATGTTCCAAGATGATACTCTGACGAAATACACTTATTAGGAAATGTGCGCCCATATATCGTATCTTTGCTCTTAAAAGAAAAAAAGAGATGTTTATTATTTGCCAACCTTACGGAAAATTACTATTTCAGTACAAATGTATTCTATAAATGATCCATATATGAAATTTCTAGGAAATAATTTAAATAGTGAAAATATGTCGAAAATATAACAAAGTATTCTAAATAAAGGATCATGTAGTTCTGTAAAAACACACATCCATCGTTTCAAACAACAAGGCTCTTCGAAATTCCACAAGAGTCATCGTACTCTCCGCTGTTTGAAGAGAGTCGGATTTGGGTGTATTCCAGGACCTTCCTTAAGAGCTCTCCGCCGCCTGTGAATACGCCCAGCTGGTGAGGTGCTGGAGATATTTCGCTGCGATTGCAGCTGGGAAGGAGGCCGATGATGTGCATCTCCACACCCTCACCGCTGGAAGCAGCTGTAGTGAGCAAAGTAATGTTGACCCGTCGTGTTGCTGCCGTCATCAACAGTCAGCTCGAAAAACAGCATCATATGGACTCCCGAATGGGTAATAACCGGTACTCGGAAACAGCATTGTTAAGTTCCTTGGTAATAAAAAAAAGATGAAGAACACAAGAAACAAAATGTATGAATTTTCGATAGAATGGTACCGATATTTGTCGTGAACAAACCTCAGTTAACTTTCTTCGACACCATCAACCGCAAGTTGGCCTCTTGAAGAAAAAGAGACGAGTTATGTGTCACAAGCTGGCAGTTTCCATCCTGTCCACATATCGTGAAACATTTTCTATATGGTTACCGTGACATTAGTGTAATTAGTTTTGTAATCCCAAGATATTCTGACTGAGGTTTCAACGAGTGACCATGGGAGTCACAGTCCGGGGAATGAGACGAAGCAATTTGATATCTTTCTTTCGTAAATTCTGAGAGCAGGATACGGTCGAAAGGAAACCTATCAGAGTCAACTGTACCATTGGAGTATTTTGAAGGGCTAGCAAAGACTTCTTTACTCCTGTGTTGTTTCTGTCACATTCCCAAAACGTTCGTTTGTAAATATTATTTTAATACTTTTCACTGATATTGATTTGGTTCAAACGCTTTCCATTTATAGTAAGTATATATTTTCT